CTTATTTTTTTTTTTTTTTTTTTTAATTCATTTTTTTTTACATGTATTAGTTGTTGTTATTTTGTTGTGTGTGTGGTTGGGGAGGGGGGAGGTTGCGGGGGGAGATAGATAAATGGATGGATGATGGTTGGATGGATGGATGGACGGACGGACAGACGGGTGGGTGGGTGGATGGGCGGAGAAAGAAGGGGTAAAAGAGGGGGCAGCACTATTTAAAAGATACAATAAAAAAAAAAGTATTTTACTGTGGTCATGGTTATTTGAAACGATATATTTTATAATTTTGAAATCAAACTTTTCATATTGATGTGTTGAAGTTAATTTTAGCAGTTAGTTTTAGTGTTTCGCTAATATATCTGAAATCACAAGCTAGAAAACCGCGGGTTGAACAAAAGGGTTTTGCATGTCATTTTAGTCTTAAAATGCATATTTCCGGACTAACTTCTAACCTTTGAAATGTTGAGTGGCAACTTAGGATTGAAATTTTCTGGTTTTAATCCTTTGTAACCGCAAGTATGATCGTCCATGTGTTATGTAAGTTTGCTGTAGCTATCTTTGCACTCTTTATACCCACACAGCAGGGTGATGAGTGCTGATTGATGTGCCTCACTGCATTTAGTGTCGCGATGCTTTTAGGAAACACTCTCTTAAACAAAGTGTGTGTTTTTTTGTTTTTTTAATAGAGCACGACATGTGGTCATAGATTCTCCTTGCATAGGTACCGTCATACGTACGCATATAATTTAGTTTAGGGGGGAAATAAGCCTACTTGGAGTCACATGTTCAAAGTTTGCTTCCAGTGTAGCTAGCCGGCCTTACGTTGTTTTCTTTATTTGTTTCAAGAGCATTTCGGATGTCTTGACCTTCTCCCAAACAGCCAAGTTTGTTGTTCAAATTAGGACCTAGCCATCTCGCCCCCCCCCCCAATATCCCGGACCACTTGAAATGGGATTGTGCCATAAATCCCTGTTTTTATTGTCAATTCCCCCCCCCCCCGATCCCATCCGCCCGCCTGTTTGCCGCGGAAATTTCTCCGGTCCCAAAGAAAATAAGAAATGATTGGGAGGGTGTTCTGTTGCAGGAGCGGCGCAATGGGTTTATTTACCTTAATTACACAAAGGTCATTAGTTTTATGTTGCACAAAGCAGTCCTGGCACGTTTGTATGCGCACGGAGTTGTTGTTGTGGGGGGGGGGGGGCATGGCTGGGGAGGGTTCAATGATTTCTTTAGAAAAGGTCATTAGTTTTATGTTGCACAAAGCAGTCCTGGCACGTTTGTATGCGCACGGAGTTGTTGTTGTGGGGGGGGGGGGCATGGCGGAGGAGGGTTCAATGATTTCTTTAGCAGCATTTGTTATTATTTAGGTCGTTTTTTGGTGGGGGGTTGTTGTTTTTTTGCTGCTGATTGGTTGACATTTGGCACCGTGGCTGCTTAGTAACACTTAAGGAAGGATCTTTTGCTTGTTGTTTTATTTGTAAGGGTGTGTGTTATTATGGGAATGGGGGTGAGGGTTGGGATTTTTGCTTTCTTCAGTTAAGTATGTTTTTAACTGAGTTTCGTCGCCTCTGAAACAAAAAAAATGTTACTCCGAAACATACACTCCGGTGTCTTGCTAAGTTTAGGGGTCACCAGTTTTGATGGGTTTTTTTTTTTGGCCAGGTTTGGAATTTCCGATATGTATCTAGACATAGCTGTTTAAATCCACGACCTTGCCTCAAATTGGGGCAATGATATTGTATTCAGCGGTCCTTAGTGACTCTGGGGAATTCTTTTAGCAGACTAGTAACCCTACTTTATTTTAGTTAATTTAACTATTAAGTTTATACAATGCCAGGAAGGAACTATCTTTATTGTTTTCAGAGCATTCTTTTTTCATCGTTCTATATTACTGTCAGCAAAGTTTTCTTAGTTAATATTTACTGGTTTTAGGGGAATTCCCAGATCTCTCTCATTTTTTCTTTTTTTTTAACTTGTTGCGTCATGTAAGGGGTTTTCAAAAAAAAAGGGGGGTGTGGGGGTGCAAAGCCATAACTTGCGGCTTGTTAAGTTGTTTATTACTGGAGGCGCCACAGAACATATCAATTTAAATAAAACCTGCAAATTTGGCGGGGGGGGGGGGCAAATGCCCCACCCTGCCCTACCCAAAAGAAGCACCTTATTTTACCATAGTGCTACATCCTTTCTTTAATAAGGAGGCGCCACAGAACATATCAATTTAAATAAAACCTGCAAATTTGGCGGGGGGGGGGGGGCAAATGCCCCACCCTGCCCTACCCAAAAGAAGCACCTTATTTTACCATAGTGCTACATCCTTTATTTAATAGATTGTAGAAATTTTATTATTTTTTTTTTTAATAGAGGAAAGGCTTCTCTTGGCCCCTCCCCTCATATCAACTCTATGCATCATCATTATTCAAATTATGCATACATCAGAAAAGAGCAGTAAGTGTGTGTTCCCAAAGGCGCTGAGATGCCTCTGCAATGCCCGGTACAGTGTATGACACGTGAAATGACCCTCTTGTTTCTCTCTCCACAGAACCGAGGCAGTGGCCTGGACATGAACGTACGCAAGGCTTGGGATATGGGCTATACAGGGAAAGGAGTGGTGGTCACCATACTGGACGATGGCATCGAGAAGGACCACCCGGATCTGTACCGGAATTATGTGAGTACACATGGGGGGCGAAATGTCGGCTAGGGGTGGCTCCCGCTCCGAACGGGCACCCTCTCGCTTCAAACAACTTCACGAGATGGTCGAGATCAAAACAATTATTCTTTAATTATTTACAGAAATAAACACAAACCAACTTTAATGGCGTTCACACCATATGAATGAAAGACTTCTGTCCACCTTCCCAAATGCGCCCGGCTCAATCAAAAACCACCCTCTCACTCCCTACAGAACGCTTTCTTGTCGCTCATAACAAATAGATCGCACCACACCGGAGATGCGTGGCGTATCTCATTCGTGACCTAGTGAACGTGGTGCGATACATGGGTGGAAGTTCCAAACGAAAAGCATTATTGCTCACTGACAATACTATCAAAGCAGACACTTATCATAATCACGCGATCTGAATCTGACCGTGACTCACATCACCTCTTCTAGTGAACATGCTCAAGGGCCTATAATTTTTAACCACCACCACCACCCCCTCCCTCCCTCTTTTTTTTCTTCACCTCCTCCCCTTTAAATGTATTTTAACGAAGTAGAAAGAAACCTAAATAAACAGGATTTTGCTTTAATTTTTTTTTTTTTTTTTTTTTTTTTAAATTTTTTTTAAAAAAA